GAATTATCTCAAATCCTTGCTTACAAACAATAATATATAAAGTTTTATTGTACAGAAATTCACACTTCAAAAATGTAATTGTTTTGTAAAAATTATCTCAACAAAAACATGTCAGAAATGCTAATCGATCAAATAACCGCTATCATTTTATGCAATTAAAAAAGAACTAATTTAGCATTAGGTACTTTTCTGATGGAAATACTTCTAATGAAACTAATTCAAATTTTGTCATAGAAGTTCATATTTTAGTTTCGCTTGCTAAACTAGGAACTGATTTTGTAGTGAATAAGCTAAACAGAGATATTTATTGAACTCAAAAAATATCATAATCGTACAATTAAGATACGGCATGTAGTAAATTTATTTATGCCTTTCGTACGTGTTATTATTTATTGCAAATGTAGCTGAAGATCTGCACAGAGTACATTCAATGGGCTAAGCAACAAAATCGAATATTTTTACGTCATATGTTAGAAGTACGCTTAATGCGATTGCTGTACGAATTAGGACGATATACAGAAGTGCTCGCTACTGGTACAAAAATTTTACATTTGAAATGAGACATGGAAGTTTTTAACAGCAACAAGAAGGATCAAGTAGTCGATCGTCAATCAATAAATCGATTAATCGATCAATCACTTACAAAAAAATTGTTTTGAAATTTCTGTAACCATTTTATGACTGAAATTATTTATATAATTAATGATAAATCAGTTTATTGTAAGCGTGCAATTAGTTTGTTGTAGGCGTTAGACTGACAGCCGAATTAAAGAAAATAGAAAACAAAGATGTACAGTTAGAAGCATATTTAGAAGAAAGTAAAGCTGCCTTTGCCCTGAAAAACCTAAGTCGGTCACGAACAGCTCTGGTCGCTGCTCGAACCATCGCTAATTCCTTATTCATTGATGAGAAGCTGCAGGTTAAAGATAATAATTATCAACGCAATAACTTTAGCCAAGTATTCAAGTTGCAAAAGAAGTTCTGCATTCAGTCTTGTAGTCATAATCGACGTGTTAAGGGAGCAGTATGATACTTCAAAAAAAGATGCACACACATTAAAGCAAGCGATTCTTTGAGGGGTTTAGGGCCAGCTTGACATGCAGTCCGGAATACTCAATATGGCTGAAGATTGTGATTTCAAAACAGCTTTTTCTTATTTCTATGAAGCATTTGAGAAGTTTGATACAGTTGAGGAGAGTGCCAGTGCTCAGAAAGCCTTGAAGTATATGTGCCTTACGAAGGTAACAGGCTCTTTGATTCAGTCTGTAAATTTTCATTCTCTGCGTATATTATTCAAAATGTTAACGCATAAATAATAGAAAATAAATGCGTAATTCTTCTATGCAAATAATATGCTTGAAGATTATGTCGAATGAAGCAGCAGAAGTGCCACATTTGCTATCTGACAAACTTGCAGTTAAATATTCCAGTGTTGAACTGAACGCTATGCAAGCGATTGCTGCGGCATTTCAACACCGATCCTTACAAGATTATTATAAGGTCTTTATGAGTATCACAGCATCAAATTTACATATGCTTACTTGATTTGAAATTTACACTTCATTTAAATAATATATGCAAGTTTGAAAAATCACTAATCAGAATGTTTCATCACAAATTTCAGTTTTATTTCTTTTTTTGATCAGAAAAAAATGGAGGCTTTGGTTAGTTCAACAACAAAGTTGCATGAAATAGCTGATTCATTTAACTAATCACACGCAACTTCTTTTTTATTGGTTCAGAAGTTTACTTTGTCCCTTCATCCCACATAGAGAAAGTAATGTGTACTTCTGAAGGCATTTGATAAATATCGAAATGAACTCGAATCTGATTTAATTATTCGTCGACAAATGGATATTCTCACTGATGCAATGCTTGAAAAAGATATTTGCCGCGCTATTGAACCGTACTCTCTCACTGAAGTACTGTACTTTATGGATTATTAACCATTACTGTTAGATAATAATAAATGACTGCAGCTATTGGTAATTTATTTTTGAACTGATTAATTTTAATAAAGCCTCAGGTTTTTTAGAATCGAATTTTAGTTATCTTCATAATAAAATAGCATTAAAAATACTTTATCATAAAATTTGTACTGAATTACAAATGGACGTAACTTCCTCAAAAATAGGAACTTAATCTCATTTATTAAATTGGCATCTAATTTTTTAAATAGAAAGGGATTATTTTTAGATGTCTCAGTTAGCTAAAACCATCCATTTTCCTGTTCAAAAAGTTGAAAAGAAACTTGCACAAATGATTCTGGATAAAAAAATCAGAGGTTAAAACTGCTGCATTAAACAAATTATGAACTCACAAAGAAAATATTAGTAGTTAATTAGAATAATATGCTTTTTAAATCTGGTTGATAATTAAAGACTTGGCGGCAATTTGATAAAGTTTTTTGTTCAACTAATTAAATTCTTTTGATATACTGTTAGTTAATTATTACGAATTCTAAGATATTTTAAGATTAAAGTAATAGTCACTTCAGCTTTCAAATGTTTGCTTCTTATATTCAAATTTAGGTGTGATTGATCAGCAAGAAGGTACGCTGACAGTATATGAAAAGCCTCATGACATACAAGACAAAACATTTACTGAATCAGTTAAGGTCATCCGAGCTTTATCAAAGGTTAATTATTCAATTATCGTAAAAGCATGGAAAGATGTTTGAAAGTATTCGCACTAAAATTTTTGCTTATAAAATGAACGTTGCTTCCATTTGCCTAATTTTTGCACATAAATTTTTGCAGACAGTCGATGAAATATACTATCGGGCAAGTACTCTCTAAGCGTACAATTCAACTTTATTAAACTTTTTAAAGAATATGCATTTTTACTTTAGTGAATTTAATTTTCATAACAGATAAAAGCAATTGATCATATATATACGATCAATTGTTATAGCAGTGCTTGTCAAATAAATTTTTTATAACTTTGTTTTGTAGCAATTTTTAAGTATTTCTATCAATTCGATCTTGTCATTGTCTATTTAATTAATATTTAGTCGTAAATTCGTACTTGGCAATAAATTTTGATCATATCACATGAAGGCAAACAATAATTCTTTTCTTCTTCCCACTTAAACTCTTTTTTCTTATTTTTTGCAGTTTAAAAACTTGCATCATAAATTGCTATGCTCCACTTCTATATTTCGCTATGTTTAGAAAGTCAATCGTATTTTTCTTTCGTAGCCAATTTTGCAGCAAATTTTTTTGCCTCACCCAAAACAAATGAGTGGTTGAATGAGTAAATAAATAAATATAAT